TTCCTTGTCAATGGTAGCCTGTGAAAATGAATCGTAACCCCAGCTGCCTTAGCCCTATACAATTCATTACTACAGCCTGGGGTAATACAGTATGAACCTCCCCTAGTCCTGTTGGTTTCTGTTTCCTCAGCCATCTCAGCTAGCCTCAGACTAATCACAAACTACGGCCTCTCTGCTGGGGTTGGTAGGCAACGGAGTAGCCTACCATGCCAGTGACGTAGCCGAATGTTGAAATCCAAAATGGCGGCGCCCGTGTAACAAAAACAACATTTTCAACGTACGTTTTTATCCCTTTTAACAAATTCTACAATTTTAATAATTGCACCAATGATAATAAATAAAATACATCTGTTATATCACATTTTTTCGATTTTCAGTTCAGTTCATCTTTAACACAAATCTCTGGATCAAACCTGTTGAAAACGCTCTTCATCTCTGCAGTCTCAGTGGCTCTCAGCCAGATCTCCGCGATAGGAGTGGATGATGTGTGAGTGGCGCGCCCAAAGGAGGGGATACCAGAACGGTTTCCCCCCGGAGCTTCCGGGACAGTCAGCTTTTTGGAAATGAGGAAAAAAAATGTTTTATATATACATACAAACATTTCCCCTCCTCGTCCCTTCCCCACCCGCTTAGGTTCCCATCATTTGCCTTTCAAAGGGGGAGGCCCTTCAAAAAGAAAATGATGGGAACCTACATGTTTAGCACAGTAAAACAAGCATGTACGTACCTGTCCATCAGCAGACGTCCATCATTACAGTCAATGTCTGTCCACACGTCCCACAGCTCTGCTTCTGATGACTGGATGTAATGGTCCAAACACATTCCTTCTGTAAGGAAAGACATGAAAAAAAATATTTGTTTTAGAAATACTCTTTATTCTACATCTATAAATGAGAATGTGAAAGTTAGTCTAAAGACTAGTTAATAGAAGGAATTGGAAATAGAATAAATTAAAAGTATAAAGCTGTACAGTCTGAAAATACAGTTCAGTAAGGCTGTATCAGTAATGATCTTTCAATAATACTCTTCTAATTCAATTCAAATTAAGATGATACATTCCTTCAAAAACATTATCTGGATGATTATTTATTTATTCACTTTTTATACATAAGTATGCAGTGTCATATGTCAATGAGTCAAAGTCCAAATTACAGCCTTTGCGGTCCAAACTTAACTAATAAGCATAGTGTGGAACATTATATAGAAACTGTGTCTATTCCTCGTTTAGTGAAGCCAAACAATAAATCTAGTGTAGGATCTAGCAAAAATCTTATTGTAATTAAACCAGAAAATCTAAATATCAGTCAACAAAAACAATTTCTAAAGCTAGGTCTCCTAAACATTAGATCGCTCACACCTAAAGCGGTTATTGTAAATGAAATGGTCACAGACAATAACTTCGATGTTCTGTGCCTTACTGAAACCTGGCTTAAACCAAATGAGTATTTCGGTCTAAACGAATCTACTCCGCCAGGATACTGTTATAAACATGAGCCTCGTCTGATCGGTCGTGGCGGCGGTGTTGCAACAATCTATAAAGATATTTTTAATATTACTCAGAAAACAGGTCACAGGTTTAATTCATTTGAAGTACTTGTGCTAAATGTTACGCTCTTAGATGTAAGAAGGAAATCTATATTATCTCTAGCCCTGGCTACTGTATATAGACCTCCAGGGCCATATGCTGAATTCCTAAAAGAGTTCGCAGACTTTCTCTCGGATCTATTGGTAAATGTCGATAAAGCAATAATTGCTGGAGATTTTAACATACACGTAGATAATACAAATGATGCGTTAGGGGCTGCGTTTACAGATTTATTGAACTCCTTTGGGGTCAAACAAAACGTCAGTGGTCCCACTCATCGTCTAAATCATACACTAGATTTAATTATATCATATGGAACCGATCCAACTGATATAGATATTATACCGCAAAGCGATGATGTCACTGATCATTACATGGTGACTTGCATAATACGTACTGCTGAAATATGTCATGTTGCGCCACGTTATAGACCAGGCAGAACAATCCTTCCAACCACTATAGATGGATTTTCAAATAGCTTACCTGATCTATCTAAGCTGCTAAGTGAACCCAAACAAACAGTTGAATTAGAGGAAATGACTAGCAGTTTAAGCACCATTCTTACTAGTACATTAGATATTGTTGCGCCAATTAGATTAAAAAAGGTTCGAGAGAAAATTAAAGCACCGTGGTACAACAGTGCTACGCATGCTATCAAGAGAGAAACTCGCAACTTAGAGCGTAAATGGAAACAAACTAATTTAGAGGTCTTTAGAATCGCGTGGAAAGACAGTATGTCACGTTATAAAAAGACACTAAAAACAGCCAGGGCTGAGCATCTCCGCAAACTAATCGAAAATAACCAAAATAATCCAAGGTTTTTATTTAACACCGTGGCTAGACTAACAAATAAACAGACATCACCAGAGCAAAATATACCTTTACAGTTTAGTAGTAATGATTTTATGAATTACTTCAATGCGAAAATAGAAAGCATCCGAAACAAAATTATAAATGTACAATCCGCTATGGTGTCTTATGATTCAGCTTCAATTATGGACCCTCTAGAACAACTAAACCGCTTTACAACGATAGGACAGGAGGAGCTAAATAAACTTATCATTGCATCTAAATCAACAACATGTTTATTAGATCCAATACCCACTAAACTACTGAAAGAACTACTACCTGTAGTGGAAGAGCCTCTCCTCAATATTATTAACTCGTCTTTATCTTTAGGTCATGTCCCAAAAATATACAAGCTGGCTGTAATAAAACCGCTCATTAAGAAACCGCAATTAGATCCAAATAACTTGGCAAATTACAGACCCATTTCAAATCTTCCATTTATGTCCAAAATACTTGAAAAAGTAGTGTCCGCTTAATTGTGCTCTTTTTTGCAAGAAAATGATATCTATGAAAAATTCCAGTCAGGATTCAGACCGCATCATAGTACAGAAACTGCGCTAGTTAAAATTACAAATGATTTACTTTTAGCTTCTGACCAAGGCTGTATCTCAATACTAGTCCTACTTGATCTTAGCGCTGCGTTCGACACTATAGATCATATAATACTCTTGGATCGACTACAAAACTTCACCGGTGTCCAGGGACAGGCATTAAGCTGGTTTAGATCGTACTTATCGGACCGTTCTCATTTTGTCTGTTTAAATGGGAAAAAATCAAAGATAACGTCAGTAGACTATGGAGTACCGCAAGGATCAGTTTTAGGCCCTCTGCTATTCTCAATATATATGCTGCCACTTGGTAATATTATAAGAAAACATGGAATTAATTTCCACTGTTACGCTGACGACACTCAATTATATATTTCATCACGACCAGATGAAAACACTAACTCATCTAAAATGACAGAGTGTCTCAAAGATATAAAATGCTGGATGACGCGTAATTTCCTGCTATTAAATTCAGATAAAACAGAGGTATTACTTATTGGTCCAAAAAACTACTCACAAAACCTCTCACAATACAACTTTAATATAGACGGATGTCCTGTTACTTTATCCACAACAGTAAAAGACCTGGGTGTTATACTAGACCGCAACTTGTCGTTCGAAAATCATATTTCATATGTTACAAGAACAGCCTTTTTCCACCTTAGAAACATTGCTAAGCTACATAACATGCTATCTATTTCTGATGCAGAAAAATTAGTTCACGCATTCATGACCTCGAGACTAGATTACTGTAATGCTTTATTAGCCGGTTGTCCTGCATCCTCAATAAACAAGCTACAGTTAGTACAAAATGCAGCTGCTAGAGTTCTTACTAGGTCAAGAAAATATGATCATATAACACCGATTTTATCATCTCTACACTGGTTACCTATTAAGTTCCGCATCAACTACAAAATACTACTACTGACCTATAAAGCCCTAAATGGTTTAGCACCTATGTACTTAACGGACCTTCTTTCGCCCTACAATCCACCGCGTTCCTTAAGATCACTAAATTCAAGGCTTCTGGTCATTCCTAGGATATCGAAGTCCAGTAAAGGAGGGAGGGCGTTCTCGCATTTAGCTCCAAAACTCTGGAATGGCCTTCCCGATACGGTCCGAGGCTCTGACTCGCTGACACAGTTTAAAACTAGATTAAAGACGCATCTCTTTAGTCAAGCATTCACATAATGCTTACCTTCTAGTCCTCTGTTATGCCATACGGAACCGTTTGCCACTGAAACTGCTTAACGCACCAGTGGGGCTCGACAGCCTCTTAGACAAACGGGTCGGCGCGTATGGTTGGGTTGCGGAGAGTTCGGGTTACGGAGAGTTTGTGAGTTATAACGGAAATTATTATGAACATCAGCTATGCTAATTATTTCCCATCTGCCTTTCTGCTGTTATCTCGGGACGCTTGTCCCGAGAAAAACGGCGTTCGTCAGGTCCAGTTTTGTGTCCAGCCTCTCACGGGGATTTCGGATGCCCCAACGCCTGTGATGAGACGACTCAACGCCTGTGATGAGACGACTCAACGCCTGCGATATGTTATGGCGCCGTTTGATTCATAAACAATATTTATATTTAATATTTATATTTAAACAATATGAATGTAAGCCAGAGGAGAACTGGCCCCGACTGAGCCTGGGTTCTCCCAAGGTTTTTTCTCCATCCAATCTGATGGAGTTTGGTTCCTTGCCACTGTCGCCTTGCTTTTGGCTTGCTTTGAGCTTGCTCAGTTGGGGTTATTTATTTAGTGTTTAGCAATGTTGTTGATCTGTGTTGTGCTACTTACATGTTATCACTGTGAAGCTGCTTTGATACAATCTGTATTGTGAAAAGCGCTATATAAATAAATGTGACTTGACTTGACTTGACTCATAACTACATCTCTGACGTTTATAACAAAACAAACCGTTTGAAAATCGGTAGAAAATTGAGCAAGTTATGGTCATTTAAATAGTACACGCACCATTAACACAATGTTACGAGTGAGCGAGCTGCCTGTGACAAGATGGCCGCCAGGTGCAGACGTAGACCTCCATTGGCCAGCAGCGTGGACGACATATCTAGCCTTTATATAGATATCTATGGGTAAGATGGCTTCTAAAACCATTCCAGCAGCTGATTGGTGGTTCAACGGCTGATTGGATCTTGGAGCTCCTCCTACTCGTCAGTGGCTGCAGCTGGCTGGGCTCTTTAAAAAGCCTAGTTTTGGATCTGTTCACTTTCTGCTCCTGCAGTTGGTGTCTTTGTGTCTGAAAACAAGACGACTCCACTTTCACCGCTGCTTTTGTTTCCAGGTCGGTCATAGTCATTAGACGTGTGTGGCTCTTTTTGTCTTGGTTTATTGTATGTTAAATGAAGTTCTCTACAGGCTTCTTGGGTAGATGGAGATTCGGTGCAGAAGCTGAAGGTTGAAGGTCTTCAGAGCGACTGAAGAGCTAAATCATGTTCAGACGTTACCTATTTCCAATCCAGGACAAACGGGTGAGCTGTGAATGATCTTGGTTGAAGCATAATTTTCAAATGCATTATCCAATGTATGTGAGTTTGTTTGTCTTTGCAGTTCATTTCAGAGTTGTCCCCATGAAACCCAACTTTGTGCCTTTTGATCAAATGGTAAGACCAGATGTTTCACCATTTTGAGTTCTGACCATAAATGAAAAGCAGGTTGTTTTAAGATGAACACATTTCAACTTCAATGACTGCTTTTAAATGTTTATTTCTGTTTTTTTTAATTGTCTATCTTCGTTCTCCTACCAGATGAATGCCACGGGCTGTGCCTCTCTTACTATTGATGCGTCAGTGTTTTTCAACCCCAACGTTGAAGAGCAAATGCAAGACACATTTCTTGTGAATGACACTGAGGAGAGAACAGGTGAGCTATTGGCTGATCTGAACCATATACTCTTTATGATCTTTAGAAGACATTCACTTTAAGCCACAAAGTTGATGTTCTCTACTGTTTGGATTTTCTCTCGCAGATGTAATGTGTCAAAATCTGCAACGGTGTCCATTATGTGTGTAGTTGGCAAAGTCACATTTGTGGACCTCTTGGTTCGATGCTTAATGGAAAGGTAAGCAAAATGTCATCCCTTATTGAAGAAGCCTTCAAATTGGTTCCCTTTCCTAACCTTGATCATTCCTAACAGATCTACGTGACTCGACAAAGCTGTATATCTCTTGGAGGGGAGCAACTGCCCAACAAACTGCTTTCGAATCATCCACAAACAAGAATGGATGGGCTGCGTTCTCCCTAAACACTGTTAATCTTAAGGCTGATCTGAATCTGGTATATTGATGATGGATAAATTGTATATTTGTGAAAATAAAGTAAAAAAAAAAAAAAACCAGGAAAATAATAAAGTAGTGTTTAAAGTCTAGTGTCTTTTTTTGTGTGTTTTAATGGTCTAGTTACTGAATGTGGTGTTTGAGGTTTTTTCATATAAAGGGTTTTTTCTTTAGGTTTTTTTGGGATTTTTTATTGAGAAGAGAAGTTGCTCATAAAAACCTGAGAAGAGAAGTTGCTCAAAAAAAGCTGAGAAGAGAAAGTTCTCAAAAAAGCTGAGAAGAGAAGACTGATGCTTCTCTTAATGTAGAGTGTGTTTTAATGGTCTAATAACTGAATATGTTTTTTTTTTTAGATTTTTCCTTTAAAGGTTTTTTTGAGGGGTTTTTTGAGAACAGAAGCTTCTGTTTGTGTAAAATGTGTTTCAATGGTCTAATAACTGAATGTGGTGTTTGAAGGTTTTTTTATTTTTAGGGGGTTTTTTTGAGTTTTTTTTTTTGAGGGTTTTTTTTAGGTTTTATTTATTTATTTATTTTTTTCTTTTTTTTTAGTTTGTTTTTTTAGGTGTTTTTTTTTTTTTTAGAAGAGAAGCTTCTCTTAGTGTAGAATGTGTTTTAATAGTCAAATTGCTGAATATGTTTTTTTTTTGTTTTTTTTTTTGTTTTGTTTTTTAGGGTTTTTTTAAAAAAATGTTTGCCTTTTTTTGAGTTTGTTTTTTTTAAGGTTTTTTTAGAAGAGAAGCTTCTCTTAGTGTAGAATGTGTTTTAATAGTCAAGTTGCTGAATATGTTTTTTTTTGAGGGTTTTTTTTAGGGGTTTTTTTTGAGAAGAGAGGACTGATGCTTCTCTTATTGGTAGAGCTTAGAACTGATGCTTCGACACGTCAAGCACATACAGCTTAAGACTCAAGACTCAACCGTCATCTATTTTTATAGAGCTTAAGACTCAACCGTCATCTATTATTATAGAGCTTAAGACTCAAGACTCAACCAACATCTATTTTTATAGAGCTTAAGACTCACCATCATCTATTATTATAGAGCTTAAGACTCAAGACTCAACCAACATCTATTTTTATAGAGCTTAAGACTCACCGACATCTATTTTTATAGAGCTTAAGACTTACCGACATCTATTTTTATAGAGCTTAAGACTCAACATCATCTATTTTTATAGAGCTTAAGACTCAAGACTGAACTGACATCTATTTTTATAGAGCTTAAGACTCAACATCATCTATTTTTATAGAGCTTAAGACTCACCGACATCTATTTTTATAGAGCTTAAGACTCAAGACTGAACTGACATCTATTTTTATAGAGCTTAAGACTCACCGACATCTATTTTTATAGAGCTTAAGACTCAAGACTCTTGACATCTATTTTTATAGAGCTCAAGACTCAACTGACATCTATTTTTATAGAGCTTAAGAGTAAGTATCCAAGTAATTATCCAAGTGTTTAAAGTATCCAAGTAATTATAAGTATCCAAGTATCCAAGTAATTATCCAAGTGTTTAAAGTATCCAAGTAATTATGAGTAAGTATCCAAGTATCCAAGTAATTATCCAAGTGTTTAAAGTATCCAAGTAATTATGAGTAAGTATCCAAGTATCCAAGTAAGCATCCAAGTGTTTAAAGTATCCAAGTAATTATAAGTATCCAAGTAAGTATCCAAGTAATTGTCCAAGTGTTTAAAGTATCCAAGTAATTATAAGTATCCAAGTATCCAAGTAATTGTCCAAGTGTTTAAAGTATCCAAGTAATTATAAGTATCCAAGTATCCAAGTAATTGTCCAAGTGTTTAAAGTATCCAAGTATCCAATTAAGTAATTAGGTAAGTATCCAATTAAGTAATTCGGTAAGTATCCAATTAAGTAAGTATCCAATTAAGTAATTAAGTAATATCCAAGTAATTATCCAATTTTATTATTATCTTATTATATTATTAAACGTCGCGAAAATTAATGTTTAAGCAGTATAACCGCAGCGACGGGGGTTCCGAAACCTCGGGGGGGGACACACACACACTACCCCCCCCCCTTTGGTTTGGTCTTTTGGGTGTGCAGACTCGTCGGGACCGGTTGATTCCTCTTGGCTCCCTCTGGTTGCTGGTCCTGACCCGGGATTGAACCATTAACCTTTGGAAGGCGAAACGAGGCCTCATCCACTACGCCACCAGAGCCTGCACACTTCTAACACTTCTCTTCGTACGTTTATCTTTCGAAACGGAGTCTAAACGCAACAAGAAGTTGGAATAGAACCGGCAACCTCTCGCTTCAGAGCCGGTTCCGCTACCACTGCGCCACTGAAGATGACACGGTTCTGACACTTCTCTTCGTACGTTTATCTTTCGAAACGGAGCCTAAACGCAACAAGAAGCTGGAATAGAACCGGCAACCTCTCGCTTCAGAGCCAGTACCGCTATACCACTGCACCACTGAAGACGAGACAGTTCTAACACTTCTCTTCGTACGTTTATCTTTATGGAGGAATTTTAACAGTGTTTAAGTGTTTTTTTTTTTTTTTTTTTTGGAAGACGGCACGCTTCTGAAACCAACTCGGCACGCTGACTTTCAACCGTCAGAACCGTGCCGTCTTCAGAGGCTCAGTGGTAGCGGAGATACTTCTCTTCTTCGTACGTTTATCTTCCGAAGCGGAGTCTAAACGCAACAAGAAGTTGGAATAGAACCCTTAACCACTCGCTTCAGAAACGGTTCCGCTACCACTGCGCCACTGAAGATGACACGGTTCTGACACTTCTCTTCGTAAGTTTATCTTTCGAAACGGAGCCTAAACGCAACAAGAAGCTGGAATAGAACCGGCAACCTCTCGCTTCAGAGCCGGTACCGCTATACCACTGCACCACTGAAGACGAGACGGTTCTAACACTTCTCTTCGTACATTTATCTTTATGGAGGAATTTTAACAGTGTTTAAGTGTTTTTTTTTTTGGAAGACGGCACGCTTCTGAAACCAACTCGGCACGCTGACTTTCAACCGTCAGAACCGTGCCGTCTTCAGAGGCTCAGTGGTAGCGGAGATACTTCTCTTCTTCGTACGTTTATCTTCCGAAGCGGAGTCTAAACGCAACAAGAAGTTGGAATAGAACCCTTAACCACTCGCTTCGGAACCGGTACCGCTACCACTGCGCCACTGAAGATGACACGATTCTGACACTTCTCTTCGTACATTTATCTTTCGAAACGGAGCCTAAACGCAACAAGAAGCTGGAATAGAACCGGCAACCTCTCCCTTCAGAGCCGGTACCGCTATACCACTATACCACTGCACCACTGAAGACGAGACGGTTCTAACACTTCTCTTCGTACGTTTATCTTTATGGAGGAATTTTAACAGTGTTTAAGTGTTTTTTTTTTTTTTTTTTTTTTTTTTTTTGGAAGACGGCACGCTTCTGAAACCAACTCGGCACGCTGACTTTCAACCGTCAGAACCGTGCCGTCTTCAGAGGCTCAGTGGTAGCGGAGATACTTCTCTTCGTACGTTTATCTTCCGAAGCGGAGTCTAAACGCAACAAGAAGTTGGAATAGAATCCTTAACCACTCGCTTCGGAACCGGTACCGCTACCACTGAGCCACTGAAGATGACACAGCTCTGGCTGTTCTCTTCATATGTTTATCTTTATGGAGGAATCTTAACAGTGTTTTAGGAGTTCAAATATGGAGTGATTAATCACATGACAATTAGGACTCAGGTGAATGGCTCAATGTTCTGGAACCATGTGACCATGAAGTAAAGATGGCTGAAACCAGGCCATGCGCTTCCAAAGCAGCATGTGGAGCTTGAGATGAATGTGAATCCTGAGTTAGTGTTTGATAAAGATATCAGGTCTGATTGGTTTTTAACCAAAACTCCTAAGCAGAAAAAACAAGCTCAGTCTAAACAAGTGCTAGTTGACTTAAAACATAAATCTGTTGAACATCCCTAACCCTTCTGAACATCTTCAAACAAGGTAATGCTGTTTGTTTTTGTGAATATATATATATATGAACGATTAGTTGAAGTCAGTGCTGGGTAGTAACTGATTACATGTAATTTAATTACCTAATAAATTGTGCTTTAAAAAAACAATCAGACTATAGCTACTTTTAAAATTGATTCTCAGAGTTTGATTTACAGAAATAACTGGTATTTTCTCAACATTACAGCTCCTGACGAACATAATTAATCTTTTTTTTCAGTAATCCTCTTTCGATGTAATATATTTGCTTGAAGTTGCCCTGAAATTTTAAGAAGCTCATAAGTCAATAATTTAACAATTAGCATGTTCATCTTTCTCTGATGTCGTATAATGCAAGTAAAGAAAGCATTGCATCATTATTAAGTGTTTTAGATTTTAGACACTCCCTGAAATTCCTTCACAAACCCTGGTTTGGGAAACCCTAACATCAGGTAATAGGACAAAATTTGGTATGGTATTATCTTCAAATATTCAAATCTAAGTGTTTAGAAGTTAGTGGGATCTCGAAACCATATGCTTCGCGTTAGAAGCTTGTGAACGCAGGCTGGCTCTCCGCCGACTAAAGCAGAGCCGTGGAGAGCCGCTTCGACATGCTTTCATTGTTTTAATTTCATCATTTGAGCTGAAATGACGGGTTGGGGGGGTTTATGTCGTCCAGATTTGCTTCCCCTGGTCTGCATTTACGGCAGACATACGTTCTTCTCTCGCACAAAAACTGAATTTCAAACCAAATATGTAAAATTCCACGAAATTCCGCGTTAACACTAGATTCCACGATAATTGGCCAAGTGGACCAGGTCAATGATGTCATGATCTACAGGGCTGTGATGTCGTGCCGTTTGTGTGTGTGAGGCCGGACGCCCCACCGTGAGTCCAGGGAGCCGATGGTCTCCTCAAAGAACAGAAAACACTCCCTTTCCTCGAGACTGAGGAACTGCAGATCATCTTCCTAGAGAGAGAGAAAGTTAAAGCAAACATTGAATGACTGCTAGTTGGCACTATAATATTATATTAAAATCTATAATATTAAAATAAAAAAAGCAAATGTTACATAAATGTATCTTTTTAGGACGATGTGTTTTTTTTTTGTTTTTTGTTTTTTGCGTTATGGCTTTAATGATAAACACATTCGTTTTAATTACCGTAATCAAAATGTCAAGTTAAACTCGGTACAAATAAATACTACAGTGAGATACGTAGTTTTCAAATTGACTTAATGTATGACTTCATGAATGTCATGTAAATAATAATGATAATCATATTCAAACAGTGGTGGAATGTAACAAAGTACAAATACTTTGTTACTTTACTTAAGTACATTTTTCACGCATCTTTACTTTACTTAAGTAGAATAAATAGCGCATACTTTTTACTTTTACTTTGTTACATTTTGCAGCAATTATTATACTTTCTACTCCACTAAATTTCTACACCTTCTGTTACATTTTCATTACATTTGCTGATCAGTTTTTCCCCTGCCAAAACGTAATCTGGCCGTCTGTCCGTTGCACCTTTGTCTCCATTTTTGCACTCAGGTCTAAGTCCCATGACCCTCTATCAGAATCCAGAGTTTCAAGAAGATTGGAGAAACTTATTTTTTCGCACAAAAAAAAAATAAACGACAGGGGTAACACTGTCTTTTTTTTGTTGTTGTTGTTTTGTTTTTTTGGGGTTGAAATTTTGAGTTTCTCTGATCTTCTTGAAACTCTGGATTCTGATAGAGGGCCATGGGACTTAGACCTGAGTGCAAAAATGGAGACTCTAGACCCTTCCAGAGTAGCATTTATGCTTACCACGTAGCATTTATGCCATTATAAATATCTCAATATCTCAGCTCTGGAAGGGTCTAGAGCCTCCATTTTTGCCATAAATGAAATGATTATTTTACATTTAGTCAGTTACAGATATTTCATACTAACTAGATTTGAAAAACATTCTTTAAAATGGTATAAATATAATATATACTATTCCACACTGAAGTTGAAAACCATTCTATGATATGAATTAAATGGTTTGAAAATATCTAATGTCTTTCTAAACGTCTACAGATCCAATTATTTTAAACAAAAATAAACTCATCTTACATTTTCGTATGCAATACATGCATACGTCCATGAATGGGTGTGCAAAATAAGTTGCAATACAAAATATCCCCAATGTGAAAGTGCGAATATCATATGTTTTACACTGAAGTTGGAAAAACACAGTGTTTTTAAAAGTATATAACTGAAATCCTTATAAAATAAACGATATACGATAAATATCTTACTGAACCAATTAATTAAGCAATAAACAAACTCATCTTACATGTTTTAGAGATTTGAAGAAGTAGCTCCTAACACACAGATGTCCAAATACAATTCATGAATGGGTTGTGTTTAATATTGTGAATGTGATACAAAAGATCCTGAGAGTTCTCCTCAAGCGTTCCTCACACACACTCCCGTTTAAGATGCTTATGTGTGTGTCTGTGTGCGTGTGTGTCGGCGTGTGCGGTCAATGATTAGACTCATCCATTGTAAGCCATCGAATAGTGTTAATTCCATATCGTAGTAAAAAGCATAAAAAATCATGTGACTGTGATCCGTGAATTAGTCATTGTTACATTTCCAACGCCTGCAGATACAACGTATTTTTATCGCAAGAGATAGGCAGCACGATGTTAATGATGTTAATTTACCCTGAAAATCTAATTTGTTAAAATATACAATAGACCTCTAACATCAATGTGAAATAGCAGGTTGTTTTCGGGGGTCTGTGTAAAAAGTTGACTTGAACTTAAAGTATATCTTTTATTTATCAGGGTGCATGTAAAGAACTTTGAAGAACTTTGAAATTTGGTCATCTCATACGTCATCACACACATGTGAATATACATGTTCAATATATACTTAAGTTTTATCTGTAAGAAATTTACCATATAGACCTGTCTATCTTCAGAGAGAGGGGGACAAAGAAGACATTTAGAGTCTGTGATGCCTCAGGCCGACCCCATTGATATAGGCTGCTTATAAGGCCCTTCCGTTCGCCAGGGCATCTTGTGAGAAAGAAGTTACTTAACAATCATTTATGATAGCTTCAGGATATAGGGTGACAGAGCAGATGAGCCTCTGTGCATCGTGTAGTGTTGGTCTGCGAACGCCTTTCCAGAGCTTTTTGATCGTACTAAATTTATTTCAAAGCATAATCATAAAAGTTTAAATATGATATTTTAAAATGAAAGGTTTTAACACATTTGTATCTTCTATTTATCTTTCAGAAGATAAACTTATGATTTTTTTTAATGTGACCTAAAGTATAATTTTTATCAATATAGCCATAGCCATAATGATTTTTGTACTGTAACAGCATTCTATCCTGTACACCTAAAACATGACCGTCACAGAAAACTGCCATTCATATTCCCAAAAAAAAAAAAAAAAAAATAATAATAATAATTTAATATAATTTCTAAGCTGTTTTGCATCCACAAACTAACACTAAGTCGGTTCCATAAACCTAACTAGTCTCTATTTTTATGTAGAGATTCTGGGTCGGACATCATCAACCAGTTTGCATGCCATCACTCAAAGAGCGTGGTTGGCAGAACCTTTTAACACATTCCTACGCATATGTGTTTTAATTCAACTTTGACTTTACTGCTTTAGGCGCCTGAGCGTCTAGAGGTGAATGACTTTTATTATGACGAATGATAAAGACGGAGACATCACGAGGCAGTGTCATCCATCCGCAACGCGGTAATCTGATCGCGATCAGATTAACTCTCTCTCCTCTTTTGATCCTTTGACACCTCCAAAAGCGAGGGAACTCTGGAGACTAACCAGACTTCGTTTGTTCTATCGCAATATACGTGTGACCCGCTGACCCACACCTACGTGCAACACACACACACACACACACACACACATCAACGCGTCCGCGCGCTGAACATTCCTGCACGCACACAAACACGGACATCTCTGGAAGCTTGTAAAAGAGTTACCAAAATTATCTAGTATGCTGAAATACATGTAAAAGAACTGTAATTCCCTATGTCAACTTCGAATGGACTCACGCGTGTCAAAGAAGTTTAGATAACTGTAATACAATGCTTTAAATATGTAACTCAATAATGCTGTCAAAATAGTTCAATGTGTTTGATGTCTTTGTAATCCTCATAGCATGATCTTTCTTTTAAACTGTATATCGATATTGTGAAATGTATACCATCATGTATAAGTTTGTTTTGAAAGTTAGCACAACTTTTCCTTTGTCTTAAGAACCAAGA